TCATATAAATTTATATAACTAACATTACAAACTGAAAAAAAAAAAAACATTTTCTGAAACTCCTCTATTTCGATAGTTGTAAATGACCGTTGTATTGCCTATCATATTAAGTTACACGAGCCTATTTGTTATTGTGAACAAAAGAATAATATCACGTAATGAAGTGAGAAAACAAAGTTAGTTTGTACGACTATCAAAACTTCAATCTCTATGATCCTTCGATTCTTGCAGTATCACAAAAAAAATGAATCCACACATTTGATAACGCGGAATAAAAATGTTTCTGGCTACAGCTAATTCTGATTTGCTGAAATTGCATTAGATACTATAGCTATGAAATTTGCTAATATATACAGAGGATTTGCTGCTGTAGCTAATATAAGGACGTTAGCAAAGTATACATGTCTGTTACAGATCAATTTATTTAGCAATATGAAGTTAGTTGTCATAGTTATCGGATATGTCCGTGTAAAAGAAAATTGTCTCTGCCACAGCTAAATATGGTTTGCTGAAACTGTACTTGCTACCAAATTGTCTGCTACACAGAAAACGTTTACTGCAATGGTCAATAAATCGACATAATAGCAAAATACTTGTCTGTCACAATGATAATATTTAGGCCTCATAGCTAATGGAAATTAGACCTCACAGATACGACGTGTTAGGTGTCGGTATAATGCTGAATTAGCTGCCAAACCTAATTTTTAGCTGTGGCAGCTAATCTTTTTTTCCCGTGTGAATGAATCGCTGTACCACCTGCTCGCCTAAAATCATCCTAGAATGGCTAGAACGTCTCCCAGAGGAGCCACGGGATTATATATGTATAATTACATGCCGCAATAATGCACGCGGTACGAGGTCTGCGGCGCAGCTTATTCTAATAATCGCACCCGTTTGAAATTAAAGTCCGGGTTGTAATTAACGTCACGTCGCGCGGTCACGGACGGCGGGATATATATGCGGATAATCGCCATAAAATTACGGTAAGTTTACGCAAGAGCGACGTAGAGTGGGAAGATGCCAAAGGATGGTAAAACGTACGGAGCGGAAGGGCTCGCACCGCTCGCACCGAGTGACCGAGGGTACGAAGGGCCAAGGGACAGAGGACAGAGGCGCGGTTGAATTTAATAAGTCGTAATGCCGGCGCGCCATTCTTTCGCGCGCGCGCCTTCTGCCAGTTCTGCCGTGGATAACGCGCTTGCTTTCCCTGCTGCAGTCCTTCCCTCGCGCGACTTTACGGTATGGAAATTCCATGTGGATGGGGACCCGTTGCTCCAGCTCTCTGGAACAAACGCGTGACCCAATTCGACGTACGAACCGGGAATTACCTACATGGTGCGAAGTAATTCGTGAAACGATGTAGAAACGACAATGGCGATACAAGCTATAGTGCAATACAATAAAAGGCCGTTAAAACTGCTGCCAACACGAAAATTGCAGTGCAACTATTTCTCGCCACAGAAACAAAAAATGCGACCACATAGTTAATCCGGCAAAATCAAGTAAAGTTGAATAAATTGCTCAAACGAGAAACAAACAAACAGGTTATTCGTGAGCTTTATCTGTTTAAATTAAAATTAATGCATTTCCAAATCGTCATAAAATAAAACAAGTCTTTTTTAATAATATTCCATAAAATTTATAATAAACTCTGTGTTTCAACGTTTTAGTTTTTAAGGCTTGACAAAAACGCACACACACATACGGAAAAAGAAAAAGCAAAAGGGAAAAGAGAAACAGAATATATATATATATATATATATATATACGCAATTTCTGAGAAGTGTTGCGTTTTATCAATAGTTAAAAAATCGGGTTATCGTCACAGCACTTTGCAGCTTCACATTGTTCCCGTGAAAATCTCTGTACCTCCGATAACAAAAATTCACGCAAATGGAAACGAAACGATCGAAATTCGATCTATGTGGCTGCGTAAGTCAGCAATGCGGAAAGTTGAGATATACAGAGCGAAACAAGTAAAAAAATATTCTTTTTCAAGATTATCAATTGACAATAATTAATCACAAGTAGATTTGTGAAACAACAATAATAAGGAAAGAAATAGAAAAGGTTCTATTTGTATCACAAAGTGTATTGTGATAATTTTCTAGTTAAAATAAACGACGAGATTATTTTGCACATCTCCTGTGACCTAATTTCACAATAAATCGCAATCTATCTAGAATTGCAAAGCTCCTGAAAGAAAATAAAGTAAGCGCAGTGGTACGAAAAATTATTGCACGGAAGAGACTTAACAAGAGGAAATATACGTCGAGATCTTTGAATAGTGTGCGTTACCTAAATTTTCCTTTTTCACGAAAACCTGACTAATTCAGCGATACAGTTCCACGATACAATTTAATAGCTGCATTAATTTAATTCAGCGATTACATCGACACGCATAAATTGCAGGTGCAAATATATAAAGTCAAAACTTTTATTACGTAGTAATGCGACAATTTATGTATTTATATATTTTATAACAATCTAAAATTAACGTTTCCTTTTAAGTTTTGGAAATCAAGTATCTTTTAATTTTCCATGTGTAACAATATATGTACATACTGCTATTTTATATAGCATAAAATATTATTGTTCATTTTAGCTTACTTCGTTAAATAAAATATTATTACACCGTACTGTATTGTTGCAATTAAATTTGTTCAAAAACAAAATGTAAACGCGTTTTTGAAAATACGAGAAAACTATTATAAAAAAATAAAGCATGTTTCATTGCTTTCCTTTCACTAAACGATTCCTTTATTGTGATTTATATAAAAACTTTTCCATATAGAACTATACTTATGTGTTAATTAATTAGCACAAGTCTATGGATGATACTGATGCCAAGATGATTAAAAAAATATTTGAATTCGAAGGGTTAATCCTCTCCGATTTATATGTATAATGTATTCATCAAAGAAAATTGTGAAAAATACAATGCCTACGTATGCAACTCAAATATCAGTTGATCGTAAATCTGCCACGGGCAAATAGATTGACGTAATTTTCATTGTCCCGAAAAACTCGTGCGTTTTCGCAGCATACGAATTCATCTATATACGCTCTTTGACATATTTTATTTAAACATCCACCTACACGCGCGTAAACATGTACTCTAAATGAATTGACGCGAAATATCGTGCTGTCGATAATATTCGTGGATAAGTTAGCAATACAGTTACATTTCAATATTATCTGTTCCGTAACTAATATTTTAATTTTAATATTAACTTCAGGAATATATATGTCATTTGTATAATGCCATTAAAATAACATGAAAATTTTAAAATGTCTCCAAAACCGTCATTTAACAAACTGCGATCTCCTTCTTTAACTTTTCCTAAAGATCTTTAGAGATTTTCTTAGCTTTTCAGTATATATTCTTTCCTCGACATGAAAGCTGTGCTTTAGTATACGAATACATCGACGAAATCAATATCAATTTTGATTACGAATGCAAAATTCAGTGATGATAAACTTTACCCCAATTTGGACGCAAAAGTTATTACTTGTGCAACGTGTATATACACGGCACTCATTTGGAGTACTATTTTCATCTGTACTTTTGAATGGAAATAGCAAATGACAAATTCTATAGCTGCCCCCCCCTTCCCCACTTAACCAAATCTTAACGAAAAAATTATGGAATAATGCGCTATTTATGCGCTACTCATATCCGCAAAAAAATTTTTGTGGGGGGGGGGCAGCTAGGCAGACGTCTCTTACGTGAGACTCTACTATAGTGAGTACTATAGTGAGACTCTATACGACTCGACCGCGATTTTATGATTTTCTTTTTTTCATTCCTATTTTCTTCCTTCCTCTATTACAGCATACAAGAGACAAAGTATGATAACAATGAGAAAACGCGCGACATCACATGATCAGGAGATATGGTAATGTCTCGGAACCAATAGTAATGCGACAACGAGACGAACCGTGTATGTATACATGAACCAACGGTAGGAAACATATGAGTCGTTCATAAAGTGCGTTGTAAACATATAAATCAATTTTATTTACCAGGTTTTCATACGGATGCACGAAAAAGACAATTTTTATTAAATAAATTAGACTAGATATGAATTAAAAAATAATTATTTAGGACACTGAAGCGTGATGATAATGCTACTAAAGTTTTTTATTCCAACAAATAACGACCAGCTTGAACGTCCAGTATAATTATTTAGATTTATGGGTTAACATCATTATTTTCAAATCTGTATCTGGTCTAATTTTTAGATATTTCAGCAAAATCATCTTTTCAGTAAAAAAAAAAATATATATATATATATTATAATACAGAATAATTCATCATAATGATCATGCAAGATTTTTTAGATATTTGTGACATTTAAACAAAAGATTGTAAAGAAAATATTTATCTGTTTGACATATCAGTGTCTCAAACATGGAAATAAATGTTTTCTTTATAGCCTTTCTTTTAAGCTATCACAAATGTCTTAAAAATTGTGTGAATCGTTATAATAAATAGTTTATGTAATATAAGTTATATTACACATAAATTTATAACTTACTATATATCATGTATTTTATATACATATATGTATATACCATACATATAATGAATTTATAACTTTATTGTGCATTCCGCAGTGAGCTTCATAATTCTTAAAAACTTTCGATCTTTTTAATAAAGATATTTTAATAGAAACACACGCCCCACACACACTCTCTCTCTCTCTCACTCTTACAAAGGCAAAAATTCAGAGATTAATTTTTATAAATTTTTTTCTCTGGGAGATCGGACAACGTATATTTTTTTGGATGCACCAATGATAAAAATAAAAACTGACGAATGCAATATATAAAATACGCGCAAAATACGCGAGAACAGTTAAAATTCACGATATATCTCCAATTTTTCCAAACGCAAACGTGTATCCCAACTCTCATTTTATTTATACAGTTTTCTTAAAAAATAGTAAAAGAAATAGGAATGAATGGAGAAAAGAAACAAAGTGACAAATATTCACCGATTATCGCAGATAATCCAATACCAACAGCATTCTCTTCTCTCTAGGGTTGATCCGTTGCGACGATACTTAATACTTCTCGTTACACTCGCGGATAAACTCGCACTGCTCAATCATACTCGCGAATAACGCGAAACACGCAGGATAATGCGATACGCGCGTCAACACGTTATTTCGACGGGACTCACCGGGACACCGGGATACCGGGACGCAGTCGACGTGCGGGAAAAAAGAGCCGGATTGATAGATTAAAACGACCATATATTCGTTCGACGTTCAATCTCAACACTCGATCATACAATGCAAAACCCGTGTTGACGAACGAGCACTTCGGACAGACGAGGTCGGAAATATGGAGCAGATGGGAGCAGAATAAACACACGTCCGTTTCGTTGCCGTCAAGTTATTCGTCGCGATCTGAAGATGACGCGACGCGACGCGACTATTCCAAGAATCGGCAGTAAACATGGCGGACACGCCAACGGACGAATTAAGGGCTGCCACACACAAAAAACTTTAGGGTATACCCACACAAACTAAAGAAAATTAGTGTGTCCAATCACATTTTACGTGCGTCTTTATAGGAGAAATGCGACTGGATAATTTTCTTTATGCACACGTTTATGCGACTATGCAAGTTTGTGTGGATATACCCTAAAGGCCGCAGCGCAGACTTTTGCATAACGCATAACGCATAGTGCATCAGGCGAATCGACTAATCAGAATCTTTCCTTTCCTCCCATTCCATGGAAAAGAATTTCGATTGGTTGATTCTCTCTTCTTATGCACTATGCGTTATGCGTTATGCAAAAGTCTGTGCTGCGGCCGTTAGGCCTATCGCACATGAAATGTATAACAGAGCATAAGCATAACATAAGACTGCTGGACCAATGAGCATCTAGCATAATGTCGCCATATTGATTTACATAAGATGCTCATTGGTTTAGCGGCCTTATGTTATGCTTATGCTCTGTTATGCATTTCATGTGTGAGAGCCCTTAGGGCTACCGCGCACAAAATTTTGCAACAGTGACCGTAAACTTAAACCGACGAGCCAATTAGAATACTGCTTTAGATCTACGTAATCTAATGGAAATAGAAATAGCAGTAAACTTATCCATAACCTTTTGCAATAAGGCGAATTTCAATCGGTTGAAAAACTCGCCTTATGGATAAGTTTACTGCTATTTCTATTTCCATTAGATTACGTAGATCTAAAGCAATATCCTGATTGACTCATCAGCTTAAGTTTACGTATTACGGTCATTGTTGAGGAATTTTGTGTGTGCATGGCACCCCTTATGCGTGGTCTACAATGACCAGTAGCAATAGTGGATTAAGGAGTAGGCACAGAATGTCGACCAATACATAATTGATTATCCTCCTTACATTCGACTATGATTGGTTGATTTTTACGCCTATTCCTTAATCCATTGCTGCTATTGCCCATCGTAGACCACGCATAAGAGCCGTGACACCGACTTTTGCATAGCGTATAAGAGAATCAACCAGTCAAAGTTCTTCTTTTCCGTGAAATGGAAGGAAAGAAAGATTTCCGATTGGTTGATTCCCTTATGCGTTGTGCTTTATGCAAAAGTCTGTGTCGCGGCCCTAAAGCGGCATCTACAATGAGATTTTAAGGTGTAAAACTTCAGCTTTAAGCCTTAAGTTGTAAGAAATTGACCAATCACAGTCGAATGTGAGGAGAACAATCGGCTATGCTTGGTCAATTTCTTATGGCTTAAACCTTAAAAAAATTCAAGTTTTACGCCTTAAAATCTTATTGTAGACGCCGCTTAAGCCTATGGCACATACAAAAAAGTAAAGCAGTAACATATTATATAAACAGTAAGCAAATGATTGACCAATCCACAGTAGAGATCGTAAGGCCAGTAGCAAATCCAATGTTACAATTTCCTTACTGCCTTACGTTTTTGTATGTGCCATGGGCTTTAAGGGGATGCGCACAATGAAAGGAATAGAGAATAAGAGAATTTCAACCTATCAGAAATCATGTATTGTGGAATACACAGTTTCTGACAGGTTGAAATTCTTATTCTGTTCCCTGTTCCCTATTCCTTTCATTGTGAGCAGCCCCTAACGTCGAAACTTGTGTACCGGACACTACGAAGGATTGTGCTCGTGTTCAAGCTTTAAGGACTACCGCAGACAAAATTTCAGTAACAGTAACTATAAGACGAAACTTAAACCGATAAGCCAATCGGAATATTGTTATAGATCTACAGGAATCTAACGGAAATAGAAATAGCAGTAAACTTACCCATAAGGTAAATTTCAACCGGTTGAAATTTGTCTTATGGATAAGTTTACTGCTATTTCTATTTCCGTTAGGTTACGTAGATCTAAAGCAATATCATGATTGGTTCATCGGCTTAAGTTTATTGAAATACTGGGTCTACAATAAAAGTTGTAGCGTTTGTAAGAATTGTATATATATAAGATCTTAAGTTATAGAAAATTAACCAATCACAAGTATCCAATATGAGAAGAATAATCGACTATTATTGGTCAATTTTCTATGACCACTACTTCTATTGTAGACCTCGTATTACGGAATTTTGTCTGCGGTAGCTCTTAACGCTCTCCGACGTAGTTGGCGAAATTCGCGATGAATAAACATTACGCGAGACGCGTTCGTACTATTAATAGACTTTGTAATACTGAATATGAATTTTTCGGAACTCACTGGGCGACAGGCGACAATTACGAGTTGTCCATATTTAATTGGATCGCATAAATTGACTAATATACATTTGAAAAGTTTTGAGACGCAACATGAAGATGGCATTACTCGTCAAAGCCATTCTAATACCACAATCGTAAATGTTTTACAAGATACCTGTGAAAATTGTAGCCACTTTGGACGCTCAGTTGTTGTTTGAGAGTTATTTGTGCCAGTCTATGTCAGTGTTTTCGTTTGATCAAAAAACCTGTGTCCTCCGAGCCTAACTTTGAGCCTAGAAAACAGGAAAAAGTCGTTGGGGATTAGATCTGGTGAATACGGTGAGTAGTTAATTAATTCGAACCGCAATTCGTAAATTTTTCTTATGACGATCGTCGATATTCCATCTTATCCGATTTTTTCCATTTTTACAATATGTAGAGGAAAGTCGCAGATACTGACATAGGTCTCCTAAAGTGACACCCCCTTATTTCTCAGAAACTAACTATTGCATTTTATTAATACTAATAAAATCATGATCTGTTTAGCTAATTAAAGAAGTACGAACTCATAATTCGTAGGTTTGTGGCTTGTTTCTACATCAAATCAGCTAAAAACGAATTGTACAAATGCGAAAATAAAATTCTTACGATTTTCTTTTGCAAATTGCGAGATTTAAATAATAGTGACTATATTATTGATAATACTACGTCATTTTAAATACTTGTAGTTTCCGAAATAAATAATGTATTTATATTATTTTTTCTCTTAGTCTTTTCATAATACGATTTTTAATTTAAAATTGGGGTGCAGCGTAAACCGCCACACCTGTCCGTAAAACAGACCATGAGTTAACTTAATCTTTATAATGTTGCTTTATAGTGTCAAATATGTCTATTGGAGCTGAAGGCAATCGTGCATATATGGAACAACTCTAGAAAAACTATCGTATTACGTATTTGTATCTTGCATAAAATAAATATGTATATAATAATTCAATAAAAATGTTTCATAACGAAGTGAAAAGATTATGGAAAATCTTATGTACATTCACTTGTAGGAACTTTATACAGATAATGCTTGTAAAATAAAAAGAATATGAATACGTAGCATTACTGCCTACTGTACTCAGTTTTGGAGCCCATTTTGCCAGACGCTCATTTTTACTTACATTACGAAAAAATTAATTATTGAAAAATTGCAAATAGTATTATAAAAACTGCTTATACTATCTGATAGAAGATACTTTTCAGTTTGTAATTACATTTTTAAAGTTTTATTTTTACCTTTTGTTTAAGAAATATTGTCTAAAAACAAAGTGGTATGTCGGCATCGGCGACTTTCCTCTACAAAATTTAAATTTTGGGGGGCCAATTTCACGCTAGCCCCCCCAATATTAAAAAATCGAATATTTTTTGTTTGCCTTCGTTTGCTCATCGTTTGCTCACGAATGCTCCGTCGGAATTTTCGTTTGATCACCCCTAGTTCAAAAGTTATGCGAAATTTAAACTTTGGGGGCCAATTTCGCGCTAGCCCCCCAACATTAAAAAATCGAATATTTTTTGTTTGCATTCGTTTGCTTATCGTTTGCTCACGAATGCTCCGTCGGAATTTTCGTTTGCTCACCCTTGGTTCAAAAGTTATTAAAATTAAAATTATTAAGTTATGCGAATTTTTTAATAAATGTTGATCAACATAATAGTACTTGCATTATTTACAGATTGTAAAATAATTTATTAAACAGTAATTAATATAATATATTTTCTTGATAATAAATATCAATACTAAATATTCCAATAACTTTCAAAGCTTTTGACTTATGCGGAATATAAATTTGGAGATTAAAAGCACGAGGCATTAAATAAAAAAAAAAAAATAAATAAATAAAAAAAAAAGAATTTAAAGCCAACATTGGATGCCCGATATGCGTATCGGAATACTGCGTGAAAGAGCCTTATCCGCTGGTAAAAGCATAATGAAACCATATACATTGGGCTCGCTGCACGTGAAACAGCATTAAGCAATAACCAATAGGCCGTGCAGCTATCGCGTGCACGTCAAACGTCAGCCCCTGCGTAAAGCGGATCGTCGGGCAGCCCTCGCCACGCTCGTCAGGAGGTTCGATTCCACCATACCGCTGATTTGCGCTAAAAATGCCCCGCCGCTGGCGTTCACGATTGACCGGATAACGCGGTTCCCAATTACAGCCTCGCTTGTGGCGGTGACGCGGAACATAATCGGCTTGACGTTCGCAGCGCGATGCAAAATGTACCCTGTCTCCGTGACGGCTAATGACGAGCTCATCTTCACGGACCGAACTTATTTCGCGCACGATCGTATCGCGTAATTACGCGTGCGTATCAACCAACCCCGATCTTTACGACGGACTTTTCATTAACGTCCCTCGCGGAAATCGTTATTGCGAGTTTGTTAAAGCTGTACAGAAACGTTATTTTATCGCGAGCGTTTTATCAT